CACTGCAATGCCCATACTTATCCTAGCAATAGGGCCAGGAAGCACCACACAGATCGTTTTCTGAAGGACGATCGCTCCCAGCAGTGGTGACGCAGTAATTAGCACAATGTGCTATGAATCTAATGTATTGAGTTCGATTCCCAGTGCTATGAATCTAATGTATTGAGTTCGATTCCCAGTGCTATGAATCTAATGTATTGAGTTCAATTCCCAGTGCTATGAATCTAATGTATTGAGTTCGATTCCCGGTCCCAGCTAATATCAGTGGCGAGTGATATCTGAACCAGTCCCTGGCCATCCGTTCACCAACCAGCATTGACGAGCGTGGTGAAATTTGGTCAAACAATCCCTCATGGCCAACACGGCATGGGGTAGCCTACAACTAGCAGTGGATTTACAATGGTCTGTAACAAAAAAGAAACTCTTCCTCAAGGCCACTGCAAGATGCATCGTTTTCTATCTGTAATCCATCTGAGTGAGATTATTTCCATCTGCAGTGTGAGTCTTTTTGATGTTGTCTCTCCCCGCTCTACTCCTGTGAACGAAAGTGACCAGTGAGGCCTGTTTAGCATTCAGGAGATACCGTCAGTCCAGCAAAGTAACTGTGAATTATAACACACAGAGTAAAGTAACTGTGCTGGCCCATTGCCTTTGTTTTTGTGGTGCTTACTTTTGATTTAGGGACGCTACAAATAGAAGCTCTTTGAAATTCAAAGAAACTTCAGGGACTGCATTGGCAGTGGGTGCACAAGCGCATGCCGAAAGATTTATTTAAACACCCGCTCAGAGACTATGTATGTTTTAAGTGGCAAAAGGCACGATGCCATAGTCAGAATATAAGCGTCTCTCTGCTCAAATAAGTGCGGGGTGGTGATAATCTAAATTGGCAGGATTTAGTCCAGTGGTTGAAATTCTGCATTCCTATGATAGAGGCCAGGCTACACACAGGACAACGATTGTAACATATACATAAACCTCGGTACAAACATGTGAGTTAAAGCATAATTTATTTGAACATTGTCAAAGTTTATTAGGATATGCATTTTCACTGGCAGAACAAAAGTTACGTAGTATACTGTAACCACATTAGAGCACAATAACTATAGAAATAGCAGATGAAGGGGTGGTGCAGTGATTGGTGCACGACACTACAAACCCAGCCATCTGCGTTGGATTCCCAGCAGGACTAAAATCAGTGGTGAGTGATGTCTCCACCAGTCGTGGGCATCCCCCCTTTAATAATCCGCAGTGATCGGCGTGGTGAAGTGCAGTCAAACAACCAAATTGCCAGGTTGTGGGTAGGGCTTCATCCAATAGGGCACTGATAAAGGGCTGTACATTATGCGCAGTTTACTTTAACTCAGTTACTCACAGTATGAATGCGCATCCATCAGTCTATCCATCAGACTACGACATTCATTACTGTAGAGTTGAGTGAGTCAATATGCAACCACATCACAACCACATCATATAATTAGCAATAAGTGAAACCCTACAGACAAACGTAATAACCAGTAAAGCTTTTAATAACACAATTACAGCAATTCAATTCAATTTCCTATTATTAAGCAATAACAACCGCCATTCGCCACTAAGTGGCGGTGACGTCACCACTACGTCTGTGCCAGGCTATGTGCACGTTGAGGCCAAGTGAAGTGTCAAATGCCCGCTGGCAGGAGGTCACGGGGCAGACCCAGGTGCCACGGGTCGACTGACTGAGATGACTGGCTGATGCACCACCTGTGCCCCCTATTGTGCCAACCTGCTGTGTTTTAGCCACCCGGCGCTCCGCTCGTTGTTGTGATCGTCGCTCCTCCGCCCTCCGTTGTTGGAGGGCGACTGCCTCCAACTGCCCAGTAGTAGCGTCCTTCACGAGCCCCCATCTGGCCGAACAAAAGCTGTTTCGGCATGCGGTGGCTGGGCATGCGGGCTACATGACCCAGCCAACGCAGCCTTCCCCGCCGGAGGAGCTCACCGATGGGACCTTGCCCAGATCTTTCAACGATTTGTGAGCTCCTCACATAATCCAGCCTGCTGGTTAAACCCAGAATGGATCGTAGGCAAGCCAGCCTAAATGTTTCTAACCGGCGATGATGTTCCATTAGGGGGTTCCACGTTTCGCAAGCGTAGAGAAGGGATGGAATGACTGTGGCCGAGAAGACCTGAAGCTTCGTGCGGAGCGACAGACCAGGTAGCTTCCACACAGCGTTACGCAACCGATGAAAAGATGATTCCGCTCGACTGATTCGGAGTGAGACCTCTGCTGTCAAACCACAGCCGGTCATGAGCACACTGCCCAGGTAGGGAAAACTCTCCACTCTCTCCACAACTGCCCCATCACCGATTGGGAGTTGTGGGGGTGGAGTGTCCGATGGTACAAAATACCCAGGCAGGTGCTTAGTTTTGGTGGGGCTGATGGTAAGCCCCACCTCTTAGTGGCAAGCTCCAGGTTCAGCAGCAGCGTCTCCAACTCCTCCTCTGAGTGAGCAGCAATTACCAGATCATCGGCATACATAACATAGTTGAGCAATAGGGAGCCATCCCTTGACCGCACCCGGGTATCGATCAGCCTCCCATTGTATCTGTACCAGATGGAAATTTCTCCGGTACAGCTATTGAAGGCTTCACGAACTACGTGGTCGAAATAGATGTTAAATAAATATTGGGAGCTAGAGGACATCCCTGTCGCACCCCAAGGTGTACAGGGAAAGGCTCGGACTCCCGGCCACGTAGTTTTACCCGGGCCCGCTCACCATCATGAAGGTCCTTAATGATCGTGAGCAGAGAGTCAGGGACTCCAAAAGCACGAAGAACAACCCAGAGCCCAGGCCTACTGATGGTATCATAGGCCTTGACCAAGTAAATAAAGCATAGATGTAGGTCTTGTTGGAACTTCCTACACCTCTGCTGTAGCAGACGGACAGAAAATATGGCATCTGTGCAGGACCGCCCTTTCCTGAAACCGCATTGCGGCTCCGCAAGCCTCTCCTCAGCGTGCCTGGCAAGGGGATGTTGAATAATCCTTGCCAGGACCTTTGCCGGCACACTGAGGAGTGAGGTGCCCCTGCGAATGTGTTTGCTTATTAAAGAAAACACACTCGCACGGCTAGCCGTAATTCGACCAATTGATGCAATTTGTTTAATTTTCATACTGGGCACTGAGCATTAATAGCCATGTTGAGGACTGTCTACCTGTGTTGTCTCATCCATCCATACTGCGTTCAGACACCAACGTGCAGGTCAACGAACATTTCCTTTTCTGTTACTTTCCTCTCAAAGCTCCACTTCGGAATTCCCTCCCATCGTTGCTTTTCTAAAGTCCTTATCACCTTGCTCCATTCTAGAAATATCACTATTACCGTATCTATTACAAGTGTAACAGTGCTGTTTGTTGCTGGCCGCTTGGCGTTTTGAACTTTTGGTCTTGGGATCAATCAACTCTGTCATAAAAGGCCAATGGTGTTTGTTTTTCAAATGTTTGTCTTCAAGAAGGCACATTGCAACATTCAATCAACTACAAATGAAATTCATTCGTTTTTATGAAGACCAGCTGGTGAACATTTATTTTCATTTTTTCTTTATGGTCTCTATTAAACTTTCATAGTGCTTGGCATTTTGGGCCTTTGCTCAGCAACCATGATTTAAAGGGAAAAAAGACACCCCACTCGTACAAAGCTGGCGACTTCACACAATGCTGCTTTGCTTGTAAGGGCACTTTACGGCCAGTGCATCCAACAAAAACAGCGGCAGTGCGGAAACACCTTTCCCTGTGTAGGCAGGGTGGCCCCTTGGGGTCCCGAGCGATCGGGATGTTCACACCCATGGGCGACCCGCACAGACCCCAGTGTTCACGCCAGCCCCATCGCCCCACGCCCGGATGGGATGCCCTCCCCGGATACAGGGATCAAGCCTTTCACACACGACGTCGGTTTTCGTCGTTGTGCTGTGTAACTCACGGATGTGTGAAGGGTTTGCCACTTTCTTTCCACGGCCCAAAACCCTGACATTTCTCTGAAAAGCGATGGTATATCAAAACTCTTATCAAAACCAACAAAAGTTCAACACAATAGCACCGCATCTCAGTACAAATCAATTCCTGCCACAAGAAACACAGATGCCAATTCCCTGTCTGGGTCAAACCCCAGCGTATTGGCAATCCTAAATGTGATTTCGGGTTGTACTGCGTGTTGTTCGGCATGATGTCCGATGTTTCACTCCACGTGCTGGGAGCTTCTTCAGGAACTGAGTGCAACATCTCACGCTTGGAAAGCCCTCGATTCACGCGACTGGCTGTGGAGATGGCTCTGGGAGTCTGTGGCTTTCACAGAATCCAGGGCCACACGGACACGGGCAGTCGCATTAAAGCAGTCTCCATTAAAAGTGAGTTATTGGCCATTCTAGTGTAATGTTCCAGCAAGTGAATTTATGGAAATGGCAGTTTGCGTGTTTAATGGTGCCGCTGTGATAACCACCGTCTTTGCTGCTCTTTAATTCATTGTAACCGTGCAGCTCCATCTAGTGTTCCATACACGAGTAGCGTGAAACTTTGTGCATCAAAGTACGTAAACCATAGCTGTATTTAATGTAACGGCAGGTGGTGGGTGGTTAGGTGTATAGACGGCGATTGTTGTGATTTTGCCATGGCTAGGTGGCGTTACGACCCTGTGCTATGCCTGCCAAAGAATCTCGTTTATGGTCACTGGCAACCTCAAACGCCAGATGGGAAGCGTGGAGAAGCCACCTGTCTTTCACCCAGCACATTCTCTTTCTGAAATTGCCAAACCTGCACTCTACTCAATGCCTTTCATTGGCCAATAAAACTCAAGGAACCTTATCAAATTGCACATCACATAGTGTGTTCATCCATGAAAAAAACTGTACATATAACAATTGTGTATGTTCTGGGTAGCCTAAATGAACCACTCAATTTAAAATATGGATTTTCACAAGCCAAAATGTGCAAAGAATACATTTTTTTCCCCATTTAGCACAAACAAGCGTAAGCAGACATTGTTTATTGTTAAAAAATCACAGTTTGTCATACAATTGTTTTAATCACCATTAAAGAAATCAATTTTATGTTTTCATGGCAAACACAAAAAACATATCTGCCAACTTGTACAAATACTAAGAGCGTATAGTTTTTATTGAAAACAGAATGAAAAAGCTATTTCTCTTCAACTAAAACAAGTGCTAAATTTTGATTTAAAGCTTTCGTGACTGCAGTAATTCATATTCTTAGTTTTTTCGGTAAAGTCACGTGACTTTACCGAAAAAACTAAGAATATGAAGTGCTAAATTGTCAATCAGCATGTGCTCATGCACCAACCTTATACATTCCATTTACACATCAGCAGATACATTTGAATCTGGAGATATTCTGATCAACTAAATACGTCAACACGGAGCAAAATATTTTCATTTGAATTGTGTATTCCTTTCACAAAATTGAACCAACATAATTTAACTATATCAAGTACTTAATACAATGTGATTTAATGCAAAACATTAATGAATGCTAGAGTGTTTTATAAATGCCACAAAATCGGTGGTTACACTATGAGTAGTGTGTGTAAGAGGCAATGTTATTCCTGTCAAGTTGTAGAATATCCTAATCACTTTGATGTTGTGCATAAACAATTCTCGCACGTAGAATTGTATTTCACGTAACACCTCACAAAGATTGGCAACCAAGACTTAAGACTTCACACTGCCTGCTTAAACAACTGCATGCACGGTAGTATAATTCTAGTTACATGACAAAATTTCAATATGTATGCAATCTGTGTAATAAAAAATGCCATCTTTTTTTCCCATAGATGCTAATTTCTGGACCCTAGAAACACGTTAATGGCACATATCGTCCTCTACAGGGCAGCTTATTAGTTTCCACTTTCCCTTGAGCCATGGTGTTGCAACTCAGTGAAGCATAGGGCATTGCAATGTCAAGTGTAAAGTTTGACACGACTCAACCTGACGTGAGAAAATAGTATTTGAAATGACATTTTTAAATATGTAATACTTTGCACAACGTTGTATTGATTGCAGATTAAATGTACTGTATAATCAACTGCCAATCAAATTATCTACACTGTTAAAGCAAACTGTGAAATGACTTAAGGCACAATGTGGCATGCCCACGTCATTTTCCAAAACTGTTACTGCACAAAGCAAAGGCTGGTTCTTCAAACTAACAAGGGATCTCAACTACGTCGAAGCTTGACCTTTCAATGTGCTTTCAGAAACACTTAAGTTGCTTTATCCAGAGAAGGGATGTTGCATTAGCAGCTCTCCAATGATATGTCACTTACATTCAACAATGTTCAAACTCATTCATGCTATAATTCTGCAGAATATGATAGCAACTACTTATAAATAGGCGTTTGCTCACATTATAGCCACATTTTACAATGGTAATGCTATGGTAATGCATATAACGTTAATGATCTTCTAACTTTATTGTACATGGTCGAATAATCCTATGTGCGATTTTCAATATCAGTAAAGGTCGGCAATTATCTTGGACAAGTCTTCAGGTTATCATAGAATTAATTAGCTTGTTTCATTGCTGACAATTTATATTTTATTTTAAAGTCAGTATTATTCAATGCTATATAAATATATATTGTAGAATCTTAATTTAGTATTATATTAAATGCATAAAATATCGTGCACGATTTGAATAAAAATGTATGCTTGCTCTATAGCAGAGGTGGGGAACGTCTGGCCCTGCTAAGGCAACCGCAGGCGGAACTCGAAAATCGAAATTCAATAAATTTAGGAGCAAACCTGGAAAAGCAGTTGCGGGTAGCAAAATCATCAATACCAGCTAACATCACACGCCTCACCAAAGAGAAACAGTTCAAGCCATCACCTAAGAGGTGAGTTAATTAAATGTTTGACCAAATATAACAGGCTAATTTTTAAGTTGATAATTTTGTATGGCCCGCGAATGTTATAAATATCCAAATGGCCCGTGGCGGAAAAAAGGTTCCCCACCCCTGCTCTATAGGGATATCGTGTAACTTCAAACATTACCACTGGTTTGTTATTACTCTTCTTAAACCTGTGAACAAATCTTTCAGAATGCTTCAGATCATATTTTAGAGCTCAGGAAGGTTGAGGCTGCATATTGTTTGGGTGGGTGTATGGCAAACTCCACTGTTGTACTGTACTACTTTGCGTCCACATTTATGCTATGCACCTTCAACTCGCACTGACCAGCATGGGCAGACCCACATTGAGCAGAGGATTGAAAAAGGCTATGTATATGTAAGATCATGTGAAACATCGTGCAGACGTGACAAGAGCTACGCACAGCTGCAGTGGCTATTCTGCACGATTGAAATCGCCTCGCTGGCCACCGGTCTTGGAGAGCAGCTTGATCTCGCCGATGACAATGTCGTGCGTCACTGCCTTGCACATGTCATATACGGTGAGGGCTGCCACACTCACCGCCACCAGTGCCTCCATCTCCACGCCCGTCTGCCCCACCGTGCGGCACTGCGCCGTGACAATCACCGCGTGACTCTCGGCGTCAAGCTCCAAACGAACGTCCACCGAGCTCAGCGGTAAGACGTGGCACAGCGGAATGAGCTCGTCAGTACGCTTGGCGGCCATAATCCCGGCCAGCTGGGCCACAGTAAGCGCGTCGCCCTTCTTCAGCCTGTTCTGTCGCACCAGCTCAAAGGCTACGTCTCCCAGCGTGACCCGTGCCCGAGCGATGGCCGTACGGTGGGACTCCGGCTTGTGCGTTACATCAACCATCTTTGCTCGGCCTGCTGCGTCGGTGTGAGTGAGCTGCGGGCGTGCGTTGTCTGCGGATCTTGGTGCCTCCTGGGGGGTGTCCGTTGCCGACTGCTTCTGTAGTAAGAGCTCGAACGGCTCAACCACACCGGCATTGCTCGCACCACAGGGGCCATCTCTACCAGTAGTGTCGCTACATGCAAACCGCAGCTGTAAAGTCCCATGTGGCCACAACCCTGGTTTAAAGTGAGCTTCATTAAGGCCGAACTTAGTAGTACGTTTGTTTGTGTCATGACTGACTGATAGCAGTTTTGTAGAAAAAGTGCTTTTGGAAAAAAAATCACTGGTTTGTGGCTGTTGGTTCAAACCATGTCTGTTCATGGTGATAGCATTGCATTTATTTGTAAACATTTTTGTGGGATCACAGTTATATACATAATTATAGTTAATTCCTGATAAGGCAAGTTGACCATTTATTGGATTAACAGTGAAGCCTTCTCTCTGCCCTTGATTTTTCAGAGCTTTGAGATGTTTCAGAAAACATTTTATCCCATTTGATTCCTTGACACTCGATGTTCCAGCTGTAAAGGAATATATCATGCTGGTCAGTCACAGCATACGCTCACCTTTTAAACATGACAAAGCACAAAGCAAACCGAGGATACGTTGTGCTGGCAAAGTGCGTGTACGTACATGATCACCCACCAATGAGGATCATGGGCCTGTTCTTCATCTGTGCAATACTGAACATCCCTGAAATGTTTTTTTCCAAACACATCCCGGAAACAAAGTCAATACAAGTGACGATGCCAACGTGGAACATCTTTACAGTTGTGACCTTGTGGCATGAAAGAATTTACAGCCATGCCCAAATAGCCTCATGAAGTGCATTGCCATAAATGACTTGTAAACCTTGGAACTATACAATATTGTGACAACCTGCAGCATCTTACAGGCAACATGTGATGTATCCTGTATTTCAGCGTACCCGCATGCTGCTTCTTTTTCCTTCCCACAGCGAGAGCAACTAGTGACTTCATTTCTTCCTCGGAAGCACCCGATCGCAACGCATCTCTCAAAGAAACCTCCGCATTGCCAAACAGGCAAACCTGACATGCAGCCAACGTTAACGGCAGGTAAGAGGTACAGTTTTTATCGACCACAAGACTTTCCAAGATATATTTCATCATGAATGTAAAATAGGGGTAAATGGTTTTATCAGTTTAGATATATATATTTTTTATTGCAGGAAAAAAAAAACCCAGAGATTAATATTGTTCGTGTTAAAAAAAATGGTTTATAATTCGAGGGAATACTTTACATATAACCAACAGTGGCAGGGGCATAACAATAAACATAACATGGGGGTGCCTTTACCTTGAGATTCCCGTCTGCAGTGATTCGGAGCCTGTTGCAGGAGCCGCAGAAGTGCTCAGACATCGATGTAATGAAGCCAAGCTGACCCTGATACCCAGGGACTTTGTATGCCTATGAAACACAATGAAAGTTTCTTCGGTTTTTAACTTGTTAAAATAGCGTCTTTTTTCATATTAAGCATTTGTGGTATTTATCAAAGCTTGTGCATTTACAAACTTCACATATATTACCTTGGAAGTGTCATTGGGTTGATTGGAGAGCTTTGCAAGTGTAGGATAAGTTTGTTTTATTGTATCCAGCATTTCCTGGTAGCTAACCATCTTCTGAAAGTTCCATTTGTTGCCTAAAAATGTAATATAAAATGACCCATTAAAGATTTACTTGAATACAATCACTTATGCTATACCTTTATAATATATACCCATACACATGTTAATTACAGTCCATGCCATGACTTCACAGTTGACATTTTATAGATGTTTATTTTTAATGGCAACAAAAAAGTTAACTAGGTTAAATATCTGAATTTATTAGCAAGAACTTTCCATACAAATTTATAGCCAGCCAACTGCCCAACAATTTTAACTCTGACAGCCAAAGGTGGCTCAGTATAGACATTCTGCAATGTAAATATTATGATGGACTTATCTATACCATCAAAAGGCATGTACTCGATGAATCGCACATCCAAGGGCATCTTCTCCGTCAGTGCCACAAAATCCACCAACTCATCCTCATTCAGCCCCCGCATGACTACACAATTCACCTGTGGGCCCAAACACACACATCACATTACCACTGGACAACAACCATATAATTAACTTAAAATATTTATCTTTACACTTGTGCAACTGGAACAACTTAGGTGCTGGCAGTAAGCAAAACTGATTAGAAAATAAAGGCCACGTGGCAATAAATTGAATAACAAGAGCCATATACGTAATGGCATTTGGGATTATATATTTATCTATATTAATCAAACTGCATTTGCTTCAGCTCAAATACCATTCTGTTCGAGTTAATACTTCTACAGGCTTTATATAACTCCTGACAGTTTTAAAATATTTTTTTTAATTGCCAACTCCTTTTGGTAGAGCAATCATCTCAGTAACTACAGCACAGTTAAACAATCTAACTTCCAGTGTCACGTGCACTTACTTTTACAGGACTGTACCCCAAATCAATGGCCTTGTGGATTCCCTCCATGACTTTATTCCACCCTGAACAAGATAACAACACAAGCATAAAAACAAAGGTCAGCCAAATCTCAATGAGAAGAAGCTATGCAATTCGTAGAATATGTATTTTAAATAACGAACTCGAATTAACCAGCTTGGAGAAGCATTGTCAAATAACCACTGCAACTTGCATGTGGATTGACAAATTTTCACCAGCCCATTAAAATGTTTATTTGTAATTGGCTTTTGTCAGAGGGAACTTATTATTTAACATTGAATTACATTTGTGCAATATTTTAAATTGATCATGTGACACATTCATCTTTTATCTGATTTCAATCTGCCTAATTGCTGTACTTTATGTAATTTGATTAGATTTTGTAAATTTGGTGACCCAGGTCACGCTCTGCAAATGAGACTATCCTATTCTCTTGACTTCTCACCTAGTTAAACTAAAAAATATATATTTTAAATTTAAATGATTACCTTTCCTGCGAGCAATGAACTCGAACTTGGCAGGCACGAGTGTGTCGAGGCTCACGTTGAGCAAGTTGAGGCGTGTGAGCTTCAGGAACGGCAGCAGCCGAGGCAGATTTACCCCATTGGTGGTCAGCGCAAGCGTGTCGAGCCCCTTCAGCTTAGACAGCTCCCCTGCAAGCATGGGACATACCCTCAACACATCGGCCATGCCCGGTTGTTGGAAAGAACACATTTAGCAGAGCCACAGCAATTCATTAATTCATTCATTCAATTGCATGCCCATCATACCAACTTAGATCAATGACGACCATGTTGTTGAAAAGCCGCCTCACGTGAAAATGTGCCGTGCCGCACCAAAACCCACCCACGAGTGGCACAGCGTCAGGCCGGATGAGTGGCTCCCCGCCCGTCAGGCGTATCTTGTTGACACCCGCGTCGACGAAGAGACGCGCGAGCGAGATGATCTCTTCGGAGGTGAGAAGCTGGGGCCGGCTGGTGAGCCGCACACCCTCCCCTGGCATACAGTACTGGCCTGCGGGCACAGCGCAACGCGATGTGCCGTCGTGCAGACCACAGTGCATTTGCCTTGTCCGTATAGGATAGATGTGTACTGGAAGAACATACCTCCAAAGCGAAACATTCGTGAGGCTTTGGAGGTATGCAATTAGTAATGTGCAAGCCGACAACTTATTGTTATGGCAGAATGTTTAACAACAAGTATAGCTAAATGTGTTTGCGTATATGCAAATATTCAGTTTTGCTCTGGGTTGTGCCTTAGTTTTGTGGAACCTTCTGATCAATTTCAAAAGGATAACTCTTTAATAGCAACACAAATTTATACCACAAATTTGTTCACAGTGGATCATCTTTACAAGTCATGGTCCCATTCTACACTTCCCCCCCCCCCCCCCCCCCGTTAAAATTACACATTCACTTTTAACGGCTTTCAACCAACCTTTAAATGATAACAGTTTTCAGCATGGACGTGCGGTGACTTACAGCGGAGGTTGCACTTCTCGGTGATGGAGATCCGCAGGTACGTGTGGTGTCTCCCAAAACCATCGGTCAGAACATCTGAGGCTGGAAGCAATTTTTCTTTAGCTACACCTGGTGGCTTCACCTAGACAAATATTTACAAACGATTACATGCAATGCAATACATACAGCCGAAATAATTTATAGGAGAAAATGACTGTCAACTGCCACTGCAAAATAAATTATGCTAAGAAACCAAAATAAATACATTTCATTTTGCGTGAATAATCAGTCAAACGTCTTTTGAACAAGGACACTTTTGTCAGCTGTAAACATAAGTAATTCATCCAAAAACACTACCAAAACAGCTGATTTTAGCCATCACTTGTTTTTCAGTTGAGTCGTTTTACCTCAAAAGTTGTTACATTTAAGGAAACGTTCTGTAACGTCACATGGCCCCATCTAAACTTAATGATTTACAAAACGCCATATTGGCACTTCACCATATTTGACTCTCATCTAGTGCATAGGGGTACACATATCACTAGAGACAAATCGTTATCACCTTGGCAGTGAACAATTATTGCGCAAGAGCAATGTGGTAAAACAGCCTCGAATATAACATGAAAAGGGGTAGTAAAACATGCAAGCAAGCTGGTATTTACAACCCACAAAGCCAGCGGCCGATGTGCAAATACTCAGAGCTACCTTGCAAATACTCAGAGCTGCCTTACAATACTAACCACGTGTGTGCTCCCAAAACTTCACACGGGTCTCTCTGCTGCCCAGAACACTTTTTGAATGACGCACTTCCCAACATCGGTAAGCTCTGTAGGTAACATTGTCACGAGACGGCTACACAATCACAAGTGGCGAAAACTGCACAAGACCATTCGTAAATGTCCACACAGGTCATGTGGGGCATGCACTGCTTCCATCCTTTGATAATCAATGCCAGCAGAGCCATAGGGGCCGCCCATAAATGACGTCACGCGATTTTGTACGATTTTTGACCCCACCCCCCCTTGTCACACGGTGTCACAGACCCCCCCCCCTCAAATATGACGTCACAAATATGACGTCACAAAGCTCGCTTTAAACTATTGTCATTGTAGTGCGTATTTAATGTGGTGTTGTAGGAGTGTTGTTATAACAATTCTATATTTTTGATTTAAAGCTTTCGTGACTGCAGGGATTCATATTCTTGGTTCTTTCCGAAAGAACCAAGAACCAAGAATTATTTTATATTTATTTAAAGTTGCGTATTTTGATGTGACGTCACATTTCTCAACCCCCCCCCCCCTCGTCACACATCGTCACAAATGTCTGACCCCCCCCCCCAGGTTAAGTGACGTCATTTATGGACGGCCCCATAGCCCCCATCAGCTACACTGTTATGCCAACAAGCTAAGCGGCACAATCAGAAATACTGGTATCCATCAAATACTGTTTCTGAGTTGTTTATTTGCTTTTGTGTTCAAATGCTGGGTTGTTTATTCAAGTAAACAGTGTTTGAAAATCAACAGGTTGGAGTGAAAAAATGTGCGTCATGTAAACAAAAGAAACCACACTTGAGATCACACTACTAATTATTATTGTTTATACAAATGCATCTAGAATGTGCTGAATAAGAAAAAAATGATATGTAGTCATGTTATTCTTATAAGCGATGTATCCATTAACTGGGCACCCAGTGAAAACATACCTAGCATGACATGTTACATTACTTTACACAAATTAAACTTGGATCATCCACTGTGAAATGCCTTCATATATGAATATAGCGTTTAATGTATACCATTTATCATTACAACCACGAACGCATTGAAGTTGCAGTTACTATAAGCGAGTCATCGACGTGTAAATCACACTTTCAATGCAATAGTCACGGTGCCAATGGACATGACCTCTACATTCAGAGGAGAGGTCATTGGCGGACCAAAGTCTCCCGTTTCAAAAGGCTCAAACAAAACCCAAGGCGTAAACAACGACGACCACGTAAGTTGTTAGAATCGGCTGCTGGACACTGGTGAAGTAGGCCCATAGGTTGACAGACTGTGTTGGGGAGTGGGGGAGAGACTTGTTGTGGGTGAAGTGCAACCAGCATGGGTGACCACCGTGCACCAGCAAATAAAACTTTCAACTTGAACGTGCAGGTGTCACGTTGGGCTTCTCCGTTGTGGGCATCGGAGGGCGATGCAAAGCAACATGCCATGGTTATTGTACTATACCACCACGTCTACACACACACACCCCCCACGTATTTTACCAATCCGCATTGGGCCAATGCTCCCAACAGACCGGCACTTTGCATCTAACGCAGCGGTGGACCGGCTCTGTGTGTACAAGTGACGCCCTCCCACCCCTTACTGGCCGACATCTGTGATAAAGGAGAGGGGGGGGGGCGCTTTAGAGCTGTCGCCTGATAAAGCTAGTACTAATAACTGGCGAAACGTCGTACTCAAGATAGTAAATGCTGTGGCTCGGCTCTCCTACACACACACCACGCTGTGTTGCTGTGCTGGTGACGAACCTCACTAATTGGCTGTGTCGGGCGGTGGCGAGTTTAACGACACACAACATTGATATATTTACGCGATCTAACCCCACCAACAACAACACCACCCGTATTATAGAGCTTTAGAGCTCATCGGATTCCTCCGGTATATTAAAAACAAAAGCTAATAAAGATTCACCCGCGGTGTCCCCCTAGGCCCGCACTCACCTCGCCCCGCGGCTCGGGGGCCCCGCACAGACCCCGCCACAGACCCCGCCACAGGCCCCGCACCGCGGCACCGCTCCTCCTCGTCGCCATGGCCCCAAACCTCGTCTCGACGCCTCCTCCTTCCTCCCCTTCTTCTTACCTGCCTGGCCTCCACCTCCTCCTACCTCGCTCTTCGCTCTCGTCCACTCTGCTCGCAAAAACTCTCCACTCCGCGACGTCGTCCCCCACCTCGCCCCTCTGTCACTCAAAACCTCACTCGGCTCCACTCATCTCCCCCCTCGTCCACCTCCTCGCTACCAACTTCATCTCCCCCCTCGCACCTCATCGCTACCAACTTCATCTCCTCCCTCGCACCTCCTCGCTACCAACTTCATCTCCCCCCTCGTCCACCTCCTTCCTCGTCGAGATGTCCCTCTCCTAAGGCCCCAAACTCTCCTCTCTCTCTCTCCCCGCACGTCTCCTCTGGTCCCGTCTCTCTCTCTCTCGACACTCTCCTCAATATTCCGTCTCTTCTACTCGCTCAGGTCCTCGTTATCCTCTTTCACCTCCTCTCTCTCTACCCAGCCCACTGCGTCCTCTTCACTTCTCTCTCCTTGTGCCCTTCACTCTCTCGCACTCTCCCTTCTGTCGCCTCTTCACTCTCCCTTATCACTCCCCCTTATCACTCCTCCTCGCTCTCCCCTCTTCACTCTCCACACTCCCCTCTCCACACTCCCCTCTTCACTCTCCCTTATCACTCCTCCTTATCACTCCTCGCTCTCTCCTCTCTCCCCACTCTCTTCACTCTCCCCTCTTCACTCCCCCCTCTCCACTCTCCCTTATCACTCCTCCTCGCTCTCTCCTCTCTTCACTCTCCCCTCTCCACTCTCTCCCCTCTCCACTCTCTCCCCTCTCCACTCTCTCCCCTCTCCACTCTCTCCCCTCTCTCCCCTCTTCGCTCTCCCCTCTTCACTATCCCCTGTTCACTCCCCCCTCTTCGCTCTCCCCTCTTCACTTCCCCTCTCTCCTCTCCCCTCTTCGCTCTCTCCGGGGGGACCTCTTGCACGAGTCGAGGTGGGCGGGGCGGTCAGGGGACCGCGGCGAACAGCGCCTGCCGCCTCCCGTCGTGGCCTCCACCACCCGTGCCAGGAACCAAACGCCGAGTCCCGAGCTCGCGGCAGTAGTCGCACATTGCAAGGTGACCGAGACAGATTCGCCCGCCGAGGCGTTGTTTTACTTCGCGGTGTCTCGTCGCGCGATGCGCCACGTCGACTTGTCTCTCCGCGCGCGTTGTCGCCGGGAGGCCCTGCGAGACGAATCCGCTTGGAAGCCCAAACGCTGCGCGATAATTAAAACTTTTTTTTACCGCGGAAATTATGCGTGCGCGTTTTGACGCCGCGTGTGTTGCAACGTGCCTTCGAATCGGCTTAAGACGTTGACAAGTTCAATCGAAAGTGTGTTTTAAAAAAAGAATGGGAACGTGTTCCGTTTAATTTAGAGGTAATACCTCTGATCTGGCAAAGGAAAACAAACTAACGTTGGCGGCCGTGACAAATGACCGCGGACTCTAAAGTCAGCGCGTGTTTCCAGCGAAGGGAGAAGGGTCGGTGCCGGGTTCCTCCTGCAGAGACTCATCAGCAGTGACGAGCCCAGCACCAGTGAGTTCCTCCATCCCACAGACTCATCAGCAGTGACGAGCCCAGCACCAGTGAGTTCCTCCATCCCACAGACTCATCAGCAGTGACGAGCCCAGCACCAGTGAGTTCCTCCTGCAGAGACTCATCAGCAGTGACGAGCCCTGCACCAGTGAGTTCCTCCATCGCACAGACTCATCAGCAGTGACGAGCCCAGCACCAGTGAGTTCCTCCATCCCACAGACTCATCAGCAGTGACGAGCCCAGCACCAGTGAGTTCCTCCATCCCACAGACTCATCAGCAGTGACGAGCCCAGCACCAGTGAGTTCCTCCATCCCACAGACTCATCAGCAGTGACGAGCCCAGCACCAGTGAGTTCCTCCTGCAGAGACTCATCAGCAGTGACGAGCCCTGCACCAGTGAGTTCCTCCATCGCACAGACTCATCAGCAGTGACGAGCCCAGCACCAGTGAGTTCCTCCATCCCACAGACTCATCAGCAGTGACGAGCCCAGCACCAGTGAGTTCCTCCTGCAGAGACTCATCAGCAGTGACGAACCCTGCACCAGTGAGTTCCTCCTGCAGAGACTCATCAGCAGTGACGAGCCCAGCACCAGTGAGTTCCTCCTTCAGAGACTCATCAGCAGTGACGAGCCCAGCACCACTGAGTTACTCCATCGCACAGACTCATCAGCTGTGACGAACCCTGCACCACTGAGTTCATCCATCGCACAGACTCATCAGCAGTGACGAGCCCAGCACCAGCGAGTTCCTCCATCCCACAGACTCATCAGCAGTGACGAGCCCAGCACCACTGAGTTACTCCTTCAGAGACTCATCAGCAGTGACGAGCCCTGCACCAGTGAGTTCCTCCATCCCACAGACTCATCAGCAGTGACGAGCCCAGCACCAGTTAGTTCCTCCTTCAGAGACTCATCAGCAGTGACGAGCCCAGCACCACTGAGTTACTCCATCGCACAGACTCATCAGCAGTGACGAACCCTGCACCACTGAGTTCATCCATCGCACAGACTCATCAGCAGTGACGAACCCTGCACCACTGAGTTCATCCATCGCACAGACTCATCAGCAGTGACGAGTCCTGCATCATTGAGTACCTCCATGAACATCCCATCAATACGGTATTGAGATCTTCCACCGCCCATGAACCTGAAATGCCTTTGTCTGTCCCTGCCTTCTGTAAGACGAATCCCAGACTGACGAGCTCCTGGGGCCAACACTCCATCGGGCCCATGGCTCAAGCAGGAGGTGGCGTCGACGCCGGCGGGATCCAGGCGGAGCCCCTGGCCGCTCTCCTGAGCGGAGTCGTGGACCTGCTGTTCGGCGAGGAGGACGCGAAGGCGGTGGCCGTGAGCGAGGAGGCGCTCAGGGGGAAGCTTTACCCAGACACCACCCATGACGACTTCAAGGCGCTGCTGAACAAGGTGAAGGGGCTGCTCAAGGTGAGCGCCTGTCATGCAAACCTGGGGTCAATTATCACAATGAAAGAACCGTTTTGAAGATACGACAATGGAACGGCCCTGGTATCTCTCTACTCCGACAACCATATATCCTCTATACATGGAAGATGAATGACTCGCCACACTGCAAATGATGTGAGGTGCAAACCATCGGCCATGTCACTGATGACTGCACAATACAACATGCGTATTTTGGTGTAACAAGCGGTCTCCACCTAGATAGCCCCCCCCCCCACCCCCAGATGCCGTGGATTGGCTTGCAAAATAAAAACAAACATTGTAGCCTGTTGCTTTTTTCAAACGCCTACCTGTCTCACCTTCTGACCCTCACCCTCCAGTCTACTTTCATCTCATCTTTATTCCACTGTCTTCCTGTTTCCTTCTCCCCCCACCAGGCAAATAGGAGCGAGTTTGAAGTAGCCATGGGGGCCCCTAATGAGTAGCCAAGGGGGGGGGGTGTATCTGACGGCGAAGAATTGGGGGACACAGTTGGGTGTAATGAGTGAACCCATGGTCTCAAAGTTAGCGAGGGGTTATCTCTTTCCTGTCTCCTTGTGTTCACATGTCCATGCCTCCAAACCACCTTTTCCACAACGTTAGCTGTTCACCTTCCCATCCCTTGTATCAAATTCTCTTCATTATTTATACAGTATATTCACACTGTTTTTTACTGGCCCCACGTCTCGCTTTCCCTCTTGCCCACACCCCTATGGAGGGCTGCATACGATCATTTAAGTTATTTTTTTCACTTATCTTTTTCTGCACATAAACGAACAAGTACGTTACACTAAAGGACTTTTGTGTGGGTGGGCACTGTTTTTTTATTATCATTTTCCTCTTGCCCTCCCATAACTCGCTCATAATTACTGCAAATCAATGGGTATTTATCATTGTGGAGCATGTGGCTGTATGCCATTGTGTGCATGTTACCTTCCTTATGGGGAGCGGTAGTGTAGTGGTTAGCGTGCTGCACTATGATAAACCACGTCCCGAGTTCAATTCCCGCTCACGGCCAACACGAGTGATGACTATCTGAAAAAGTCCTACGACTTGCCGAGGTCTACTCGGCCTCAAATGAGTACCTGATTATGGTGTGTAAACATCACCATTGGGGAGACAAAGGCGGCTTGGTGTGGGCGCTGCCCCCCCCCGTGCCGGTCGTCATAGGCGCTCAACAGCACTTCCCCCAAAAGTCTGCTGGGGGGGGGATATTTTTTATTCTTTGTTATCTTCACAAAGAATATTGATGGAATACGTTATTTTTGTGAACATAGCATTGTGTCGTTTTGAAGTGTACTCGATATGCTTGGTATAGCGAATAGTGGCCAGCAGATGGCAGTGTGTCCACATAGAATGCTTTAATGTCAGACAAAACAGGTTGTAAACAAGGCAGATCCTCATGTATTGGAGCTGCCATCACTCAACATCTGCTCCTTTTGGTTGGGCACATTGTCAGAATGCCCAACTCAAGATCGGGAAACGCTCCAGGTGGGGCCAGAAGAAACGTGACACATGGCTCTCAAGAGCAACCTCACCAAGTGCAACATCGACCTGGTAATATGGGAGCAGCTGGCACTTGAGTGTTCGTCTTGGAAAGCTCTAGTCCACCAAGGTGTTTCAATTTGAGTCAGAGACACCATCAGGAAACTGACACACGGGCATGAAGGAAATAATGCACCCAGGCCAGGCGGGACTCTCAAAGCTTCCAAAATATCAGTAACAACAACACATGCTGTCACTGTAAGAAGATATGTGGTTCCAGGATTGGCCTCGTCATCCATATGTGTACCCACAAACCTTGACCATCGCTTTCCATGGAGGACCATCATACTCGACCTCGAGGGATCCCAAATTAAGATGATGATATGTGTATACAGAATGTACAACTGTAAATCAAGAAAACAAAATTATTATTTGATACATTTTAATTGCGTATGTGAAAAAAATCTCACGACATTGGTTATTAACACAAAAGAAAAACTGAGTACATGTACAGTATAGGCAAATGTTTCATGCAATGGCCCTGCTACCGAGTATGGAGAGGGAAATGGGATTTGCATTTGGATGTTCTGCTTCATATTGCACTGCCCTCAATTCTTGAGAAAGGTGACTTAAACCTTTTTCAAACAACTATAATATGACATTTTATCACAAAATAATGTTCATAAGGTATCGTCACAGGTTTAGGATAAAGAGATTTTTCCATAAGGATGAAACTGAAACATTCGCAACTAATTTCTAAGTAGCTGTGGGGTTCGTATAAGAGTGAAGATTTGCAGCACTGTACAGATTTGAAAAAAAGTCCCCAAATTCATCATTAACTTTGTCTCATCACTGATTGATATTTAATAACATACATTTTGAAGTTATTGCATCCAAATGCAATCACAGCTCAAATCGCTCTCCAGTATAGTTGATATATTTATTGTTTATGGAGAAAGAGATAGTTATAGGGAGAGGAGAAGAGGAAGTTATTGAGTTGGCTAGAGACGGGCAGGTTTCGACAGCCTTTATGGCTGGGAGAAAGAGTTCCAGACTTAAGGGGCATTATAGGAGAACGAGCCACCTCCCACTGAGCGAAAGTTGAATGGGGACAAAAAGCCTTGGTTTTCGAAGCGTCGAGTGCGTGGAGGGGAGTAAGGTGAGATAATATGGGAGATGTAAGCAAGGGCAAGTCTGTAGGGAATATTGAAGATAGTGAATGCAATCTTAAAATGGATCCCAAATTGTATAAGGAACCAACTGGGGGATTGGAATTTTGGGGTAATGTCACAAAACACTAATATGTCAGGCAATGGTCCTTATTTAAAATATACGACTCAGGACAGATTTTGTCTTATATGAATAATGTAGATGCATAAAGTTCCCTTAATGGATCTCAGATCACCATGCATGTAAAGGAGGAAATAAGTGAGAAGTGACCGGGGAGAAAAATATGAAAGTGATAAGATGGAGAGCTAGAGAGAGAAGGCGTGTTCAAAGAGGTGGTGGGGTCTTCAACCGGGTCTTAAAAGTTTCATCGACTGCCATTTTCTAACCTCCAAGGGCCAGGGAATTGCAGAGCCTGGGCGTCGTGCGGAGAAAGCTTGGTGGTGACCCAATGTTCGAAGCCTGAAGTGCGCTCACGCTGAGTAGGGCACAATCGATAGATCTCAGAGATCTCAGTGGAGTGTGTGCCTGAATCAGCTCCTAGGTGTATGGTGGAGCAAGCTAATTTTAAACCTTGAACACATGGAGGAGAATCAGTGCACACCCTGCATGTGGGTGTGCACTGAAAGCCAATGCAGAGACATGAGCAAAGGTGAGATATAATCCTGAAGAGGAGTGAGAGTGTGAGCACCATAGAAGCTGCATGTTGGACAACCTGCAGTCTACAAGGAGGGTACTCGGGGCTCCGGATAGCAAGGCATCGCAATGGTGAAGATGTAAAAAAAAACGAGCGCATGACCCAGTCTCTCGTCATTTTGAGAACAAAGAGTGTGGTGCTGCAGGGCAAAATTCCTTCAATGAAAGAGCAATGTCCTCACAACTGTAACATGTGACTGGAAGGATAGATACTGTTCCAAGATAAAACTCAGATTTCTAACTTCGTGTGTTAGGCAGATGCTCTGACTATCTATTAATCACCAGGACCAACCTTGGACAGCTGGTGAGGGGGGGGGGATGAGAAAAATATCATTGTTTTTTATCACTGTTGAGTTGTCCAACCCAAGATTGTACAAGCAAGAGTGATTAAAAAGCACAGGCTGAGGACATAGAGTTTGATCCCAGTTGAACATAGATTTGTGTGTTTTCCACCTAGCAACAGAGCTCCAAACTCCAAGCGGGGGCATGTGTACACTAAATAAAGTGGGACCAAACACAGTTCCTAGAAGAACGCCATATACAACCGAACGATTAGAAGATCTAAAACTGCCCATAGTGATGTGTTGGACACGGTTTGCAAGGTAGGAGTGGAACCATTCCAATGTGGCGCCCAAGACTCCCATCACGAGTTCCAATTTCTCGAGTAAAATTCTATGATAAATTGTATCAAAAGCCGCTGCACTGATATTAAGGGGTACGAGAATGCTTGGACATCCTGTAAGCAAATCAACCATTGTAATTGTCTTATTGCTGCCACCTTTATTCAACATTCATCTTCCCTTCCGTAAATCAATACCAATGCCCCTATTCACCGTACACCTTCCCCCCCCTCACCCCTGCCTTGCGGTCCAGGCGATGGCAACGGCCGACATGGACAGCACGCAGTTGGAGGCCTTCCTGGCGGCGCAGGTGCGCAAGCCGGGCGGTGTGACAGCCCAGCAGGCGGCCATATTGGCACGCTTCTGGAAGAGCCACCGGGGCCGTGTGCGAGAGAGTTTGGTCGCCCGCTGTCGCTGGGAGCCGACGCTGCACAGCGTGAACTGGCGCGTGGACGTGCCGGCAGCCAATGGGCACAGTGGTGACCAAAGCGGAGCTCCCATCGCCTTCCTGGAGCTCGACATTGGCCATGAGGGACAGGTGTGTGACCGATTCCACTTGTTTTCAGTCGTAGCCCTTCACGATAGGTTTTTGGGTCAGGCCACGTAATGATCTGGTTAAATTCGTGTCATAAAGACCCTCTACCACCCGACTGAGCCTAATAATTTAAATTGTCACATGGTGTACAACCTTTAATGCGCCATTTAATTATTATTGTTTCAATTAATAGGTATCTTATTGCTAAAATGTAGCAATTGAGTATCTGATTACTAAATTTAGTTGTGGGAATTGAAACAGTGATAGTCTGTGCGTTCAATGCTTCTATGTGACAATTTAATTTGTTTAGCTGTGTTAGGGGGTGTGGGCCTTAACGAAATGAATTTGTCAGATCCTTGTGGCCTAACCCATATTTCAATCATGAATAATAAAATTGGCTGCCAAAACTTACGTGTCACGTTAATAGTTGTCCTTGCAGTTCATGTGGTCGAGATTTTGAAGATGTGTTTTGTTTAGGGTTCATTTGCCAGTTGCATAAAACATCTTAAGTAAACATTTGCCTTTATTGATGCTGATGTAAACGAGTTGAGGGAATTTTTGCACTTCAGCTGTTTAATGCTACGAACAACCCCAGGCCTTAAGATGCCCTCATGACATTTCGATTACAAATTTAATACAAATAAATGTATAAGTGTTGTTCATTAGGTTCAAATGGATTGGAAAAATAATTAGGACAGGTACAAATTTATGTTTTAAGTAACCCATTCAATACCAGGATGAAGATGTAAATGCCCTTTAGTTATTTTCAAATAGGCAAACTTCCCAACAGTAATTACCATTGGCTCTAAATCGGAAAGACTACTATGGAAACAATGTGGAACTCGCACTTACCGATGCCAGTAGACTGTTGAGGATAAACAAATCCAATGTGGAAAATTAGTTTATACTCAACCTGTGCAACTAAAAATAGAGACCTTGTTATTCCAAAAAGTTTTCATTTTTCCTACACCTTATTGGAAGTGCATTGAATGTCGAGTAATGCTTATTACTACCAATTTAACTTCTAGTATATAATAATGATGTTATTTTAATCGAGTACACTTCACACAATCCGCTACTCCTGAAGCAGTCATCTGGCTGGACCACCTGAACATCAAATCGTAGTTGTTGTTGCTCTGCATCTACATCAGCTATACGAAGGAAGAAGAAGACTTCACACCAGTGTCTCAATAACGCAACTTTTTAAAATATAATTGTCAGCATTGGATTGACCATTCATGATGATAATGATTGTGGTATTGATATATATATTTAATGTTTATCATGACAAAAAAAAGTGAATTACACACCTTTTGGTGAGGTGTGCACTCATTCAACTGGCTGGTAGATTCTAGAGTGGAAAAGTGGTGTCATTGATAACAACGGCTCTATTGTTGGGTTACCCGTCCTCCAGGTAATGCTCACTAGGACGGCAAAGGACATTTGCAATTAGTAAATATTGCCTTTAAAATAAATGCAATGTCCATTAAGCTTGCAAGGCCATAACCACTGTGTCAGGATGGCCCGCGTACCCAGACTAATTCGTTAATAAAATACCAACATCTGTATGTATATATGTTGAACGTCTTTTGCACCATACGTAGCCAACTGTGCTAATCGAAGGTGCGGCGCAGTCGTACTCCTGTACTCATACTGCTGGTGATCATGGCGCTCCTGCTGGTACTGAAATTAATCTACTAGATCTAAATTGCGGCTGCTATGCTATTATAACTAAGGTTCTTGCTGCTGATGGTCCTTCAGCTGGTGCTGCTGCTGGTGCTGCTTTTGCTAATGTTGCTATGGTAATACTTTTAGAAGTGTTTTAATAATGTTGAAACTGATTATTACTTTACATGTTTAATATTGATTTGAAGCTTTCGTGACTGCAGGAATCCATACTCATTGGTTCTTTCGGTAAAGTCACGTAGGTATAAAATAAAATAAATCACGACGTTTTGGGCATAACACAAGCGTCCATCATCAGGTGTGAAAGCATGGTCTGCTGCTGAGGCAGACTGTTTTAAAAGGCTAACCTGACGGACGCTTGTGTTGCGCCCGAAACGTCGTGATTTATTTTATTTTATACCTACGTGACTTTACCGAAAGAACCAAAGAGTATGTTTAATATTACCAGTTATTTGTAATCATTCATCCATCTGCTGGTGAGAGTTATTTGTCAGGATAGTATTGTGTTTAACCACTGACAAGTAATGTAATGTAACACCATAGATGCCTTATTTAATTAAGTGCTTTTTATTTTGGGTGAATGGGAAGTATGCTGTTTCTTGGACTACATATATTTTATTGCGATAAGAGATTTGCATAGCTTTCTTCTAAAAAAATATTTTAATATTCTATTTTTGCCATTAGGTACAGAATAGCAAACATTTTAGAGGCCAACCAACCATGGGTGCAAGCCAGGTTTAGGATGGTTTCTCTACCATCGGGCACGTATGTGAGATTAATCAGATTATGCAAAAGACCAATTAATTTCAATCCCTCAGTTGATTGACCACGGATAATGATGATAGGAGGTGCAATGTAACACATGTTTATGGCACAACAGAAACATAAACGGTTCAGATAATAATATGATGATCAAAACCAGCCTTGCATATCTGTGATCCTTTATAAAATAATTGCAATGGTTCTCATCGTGTGAGATTTAAGGTTCGTATGGTACTTTATTCCTATTGAATAGGGGTAGTATTTTCAGCCAACATGCATACATCTGTTATTTTAAATTAAGGGGTATTCCCACGGCATATAATTTAACTTGTCTGGTGTCCATGGATACATTTACCCAATTATGTGTATTTCTTTGTGTTAATGAATAAAGTATGTTTACTGGCAGCAAGGCAACGCAATTCTCTTTGTTATTTTAACTCCGTTAATTGGATGACACTTATTTTGATGGGTCCTTAAACTGCAGCATCGTGTTCTGGGTTTTGTCTCTGGGAGAAACCCACAACACTGAACAGTCCACCCAGCACACTATGCCTTTGATGTGTATATCAGGGTATGCAAGCTTATTTAAACAATGTTAAAAGCATTATATAAATAGGACTAGATAGTGTGCAAGTGCTTGGATATCTAGTATGGTGTTACCGCAGGAAATGCTGACATGTATATTAGAAAGCAGGCCACTGATCAGCTCACTGTTTTCCCATTCTCTTCAATGGTCTATTGTAGTCCTGTATTTAGAACAGGCTCATTCTGAGTAATAGTATTCTGAATGGTCAATGGTGTAACCATTGTTTACTCCTTATGAGTGCTAAAGGTGTGATGAACGTTTTCTCCATGTGAGACGAGGCTCTAAAGAAAGCTGTCTCGGGTGTGGACCAATCAATTTCAAGGACAGTGCCACATACATTATCAGAGTTGTTTTTTGTTTGCGTTCCGACCGCAGGTATTGTGGTCAATGTAAACATGACTCCTTGTAAAAAAAAGTGTCAGTTTTGTTGCCAGATAAAAGGGTAAAAATTTTTTTATCATATTTTGTTACTGGCAAATGAGGTTTCCAATGGTGTAAATGCTTACCCCGAGCTCTCATACTCTGATGGTGCATTGTCTTTGAGTTGTGCGCCTTTTGGCATCTTCTGGTCCAACACCATGTGAGACGAGGCTCTAAAGAAAGCTGTCTCGGGTGTGGACCAATCAATTTCAAGGACAGCGCATACATTATCAGAGTTGTTTTTTGTTTGCGTTCCAACCGCAGGTATTGTGGTCAATGTAAACATGACTCATTGTAAAAAAAGGTGTCAGTTTTGTTGCCAGATAAAATGGTAAAAAAACAATTATAAAAAAAGTTGTGTAGATAGTTGTAAGTATAATGATCAACTTTTACAAATTACCACAAGAACAACAGATTCCACTACAACAACAATGTTGCCACAACTCTACTGTGATATGTGCGATTATAGTAGCAATACGTGTTTCATTAAAACTTAAATCATCTGTAACACTTTCCAACCGAGGTCATGTGGCTATTAGGAATTTGCCTAATGTAAAACTGGCCACATTGATTAAAGCGTTTCCCATAACTTGAAAACACAAACCAGACCAAATAGACACTTTCCGAATGAGCAAATAAATGTTTCCATGATGACTGCTTGTTGGCTTCCATACTGCCATTTAAATTCTTCCAAAGACAGATGCGTGTTGGCAAGTGTTACGATGATTTTAAAAAATGTACAGTCATATTTTGTTTTTGAAAAGTAAACCGCAATCATTCTATGGTTTTCAAACATCAAAAATGTTCCATTTTAACAGTTGCCTATGACTTTAGAATGGAGATTATGGTATTTGTTTTCCCGCAAAGGATATGGGCAGGATGCTGTTTGCATGCTGCTCTTGTGCTTTAGTTTCCTTACCGCAAGTGCGTGTGCCGCTCGTGTTGCATGTGACAAACCAAATTGGATTTGCACACCACGGCACTGGGTAAGGTCACATTTTTTGAATGATGGGTGGACAATAATTAAGGCGCCACCTTCCCTGTTTGTTCAAATGCCCTTTACAGTTTATCTTTTGTGTTTTGTTGTGTCAATGATGAGACTTCAAACTGTGAATGCAAACAAACTCTGCTTTCCCTCCGATGAAGCAGTGCAACCCCCAGCCCCCTTCTTACTACTATAACAAACAAAAAAACAGTGCTCAAAATAACTATTTTAAATGGCATTCATTTTTTTTAATACACATTTTGGTGTGTCTCGCCACTTATTTAAAAAAAATCATGTATTGCAATTTGAAAGCCAACCCTTAAGTTGATTTGCAGAAGGATAAGCAAAGCAGACAGTTTGTGTGGAGTATATGACAGCATGATGTACCTATCAGAGGAAGCACATTCTGTCGTCTCTTTGAGTATAGTTTCACTATTATGTGATCCACTGTGCATTCAAAAACGTAAACTTCAAAATGTTACTGATGACTAATTTCAGCTCTGACGATACCTACATTCGGATTCGTGTCTTGTGTGTACACGTTCGTGCTCAAGGGTTTATGAAGAGCTGCCACGTTAAGAAAACATAGATTGTTGCCCTCACGGATTCGACAGCAATGATCAGCTGATAGGGCTCAGCTATACAATATACATGTACAGCGTAGCCCTTTGTCAATTCACTTACAGTTGAAGGTTTTCCCAGGCCGTGTCGGTTACGGAGTTTGATTAACTATATGTGACCACGCAGGTCAGGGGGCCCAAAACTCGTTCAGCTATCGATCGCTTGCCACTGATATGTTAGCCGTGACGCAAACTCAAGTCGCCCGTTCACATCACACTGCACTATAACTTCTCAGCAGCAGCATACAGTGTTTATACTGAAAATTGCATCCAAAAACTTTGCCTTGCCATGACCGATATTTATTTTACTCTTTGGTTCTTTCGGTAAAGTCACGTAGGTAGAAAAATAATAGATCACGACATTTCGATCGCAACACAAGCAAGTAGGCCTACTTCAGTTTTTTCTTGCTGTGGTTGTCCCACCTGATGACGATTGCTTGTGTTTCGATCGAAATGTCGTGATCTATTATTTTTCTACCGACGTGACTTTACCGAAAGAACCAAAGAGTATGGATTCCTGCAGTCACGAAAGCTTCAAATCAAGATTATATTTCTTTTTTTTATATGGCAGCTTGTTAAAATCTTGAAGTTCCATCAATAAGCTGTCAACATGCACAGTGGGTGGGAACATTTATTTGGTATATTTCCATAACCAGGCTCAGGGCATCTGGTTGTTAGTGTAATGATGGCTCACATTTCATAGGCACAGACACATAATAATTGCCATAGCTTTGGTACATACTGTTTTCACTAAATCTATTTGAATTTGCACAAGCGTTATTTCCAGACTTAAAAAAAATCTGAATCACACTGCAACACAATACTGCCACTTACCACACTCTACATAATGCAATGTAGACGTTTTTTTACCCCCTGTATCCTGTTTAATCTTGCACTTTACGCTTTCCATGTCTGATCCTCCATTGCCCCTGGTGAGATGAAAATGGTTAATGTCGTAATCTATAAAACAATTCGCATTTCTGCAAAGTGCACCACCAGATGCCTTTTCACTTTTACAGCCGTATTGTCGACAGCCAACATAAGTGTCACCCAGGCAGGCCATGTGCGCGCTAGTAGTATTCATCGCTTTAACGCAGCTTTGCCGTAAGTGCTGCTCAGTCTGTCTGTGTATCCTGCCACCAGACAGCCACTGTACAGCCAGAAATAAGATCCCCACTCTACGCATATATAGATTGTTATTTTTACCTCTTTTGGTTCTTTTAAGAAATTTCAATTGCAATTTTATTCCATTCGGTTTTTAACACCAGGCTTACATTTTAATGCATTTCCTTTGAACGGAAAAATGGATGAAGGCCGTGTGAGATGGCTTTAAGAGCCTCCCTTTGCACTATTTTTAGTTCACGTGAAAAAAGCTGTGCTCAGGGCTGCATTTGGAAAGCTGACACACCACTATGAATTAGCGGTATGCCTCGTGTTTACTTTAGTCTCTCAATGTAGATGCTGCCTTCTTTTCTGCAACTTGGGCAGCTGTAGTCTAAAATAAGGACAGCATATTACAAGTGTGCATATTTAGTAACCATTTAAAGTGCAGCAAATACGTGTAATAAATATAACTTGTGTCTGTACAATTTGCATGACGAATTGACATTTGCACCACAGTGTACGAGATGCTCAATCGTTGTGAGTGTAATATTCGGACGAATGCGATACAAATGCTCTCGTTCTTGTCTCTCCTTTCTCTTAATTGGACTGACCTCACAATGTAACACTCCACTGTGATGTTATCAAGCATAACACTGCAGTTTGTCAAATCCATGACCCTTGTTATAATCATGCTATTAAACATAATCTATGCCTCGATTTTCCTGGCTGGCTGTTGCCTGGGTTTCACTCTACCCAAACAATAACTGTTTTGTTTGTGGCTGTGGGCCGTTGCCACTGAAACTAGCTGGGTAACTGGCTGAATGGGATTTTCCACGGAATAAATACAAATTTAATTGGCGGAAGAAGATCGGAAGACATGCAATAGTGACACCCAAGAGGTCGGAGTAACGAATACCAGAATATTATTTAATTTATGGAGAATATATATTTTAAAACCTCAATACATATGGCATTTTACTATATGATAAAGCATATTACCTTTTTGCTCTGAGTACAGGATTATGAGAAGTGTATGAAAATGACAACTGTCTCTTATTTTCCATTCCAGAGCAGGGGATTTCCTTGTAGGAGTTATAATAATGATATATAATGAGAATATAATGATAATATTGCATGATACGATACATTTCCCCAGTAGTTGGTGGTGCGAGTTGTCTTGTCGTTGAAATGTCACGCATAAGTGTTTAGCAGCGAGGATTTGTCAATTGTTAATATGGTATGCGCCATGAACCTGGCGACTTGAGTTCATTTCCCCCGGCCACGATTAATGTCGGTAACGAATGATATCCAGACCGCTCCTTTTCTCCTTTCCCTTCCTCAACCCATACTGACCAGCATTGTAAAGTATCATGAACAAAAAAAACTACCGGTAACTAACGGTCCATTAGCGGATTGAGAATTACCGGAATTTTAGTATTTTTCATATATAAGCCCACCACGTTGTTTGTGTGCGCATGTGTATGTGCGTTGTATTCACTGTCGCGATGTCCGTGTGCGGCAGGAGCCCGACCGTTTGTCCTTGGAGCTGGACGAGGCTGGCATTGCAAAAATCATGAAGAGTGTCACTGCCATTGAGCAAAGAATTGCCAAACTTGGCCAGTGAGGCTGCTGTCCACCCTCTGGTCATCAAGGATCAAGGCCACCGTGGACAAACCCAAGGCACTGCAGTTGGTAGGGACCACAGAGGGATCTGTCTGCTCGTGATTTTCATTTTACTCGCACATGTGCTCCAGCCAATATTCCTGCAACAATCTCCATTTTGTTGAAAAAGCGTTTTTTTACTTGATCTGTTGAACCTATTTGCAGCGAGCAGGCTAAGAAATCCCCCAAGCCCTGATGGATTTTAATCAGTTTAGTTTCAGGTACAGTCTGCCTTAAATTACACATGGGAAAATTGCCTGAAGATTTGGCTCAATGGAAGCAAACCTTAGTTGTTCATGTTTCTCATTATAAATGTAAAAAAAACCTTGCAGCTTAATTAAAACATCTTTCACATCTTGGGCTGTTCTATGAATCTCTACACATTGCTAACTTAATTACTTGATTTCATTATATTTGACGAGGAGATTTACCATACAATTACAAAACTATTACCGAAGAAATAAAATACAGGTAGTCCTCTACTTACGATGGAGATGCGTTATGGAGGTGCGTTACGGCGACCCCATCGTAAGTCAAAAATATCGTAAGTCGAAGATGGCCTAGCCTACCCAGGAGTCTTAAGAATGGTGATAATTTAGCAAAACAGAGCGATATGCTGTATGTATTTATTAATTACAATACTGTATTGCACAGTAAAATAAAAAAACAAGGTAAATTCTTAGCCTACCTACATGAACTGAAATTTAATAGAAAGTTTTTTCAGGAAACAATCCTATCTGCTAGAAAAAAAAAAACTTGTAACATGCATTGAACGTATGTATCGTATCGTGGTAACCCTAAAATGAAATCGCTAAAGCTACGTATCATACATGCATTGAACGTATCGTAAAACACAGAAAAAAATATACGCGCTAACACCGAGACAACTTAACTCCATCGAACGCTGGTGAGAGTGAGGCATCACCACACAAGGCGGGAGACGCGTACATCCCGGCAGCATCCCAACGTACAGTATCATACCTCGTACGCTGCTGAGTTTGCCTGCCGCGCAAAATTTAAAATATTTTACAATTTTGTCATATCGCTATCGCCATCGTTAGATCGAAATACCGTAAGTCGGACCATCGTAACTCGGGGACTATCTGTAAATGGCTTTTATGCACCGTATATGGAGTGTTGTATTAGCGGGATTAATTGGAAGATTCCATTTAAGCCCGTGTGCCACATTTGTATGATTGAGTACGCTTGACGATTCTACAGTTATGTAAATATAATCTGTGCTGTATTGCTTAGATTTTTTTCTTTTTACTAATCTTAGATGTTCGTCTCATCATCTTACAAGCAAATAAACATCTTGAATTGGAAATGCAGAGTGTGAATATCGGATGATTATGCACTGCTATACAGAACGGGAAACTTCAAAAGCTGCGCTCATTCATAATTGTGAGGAGGTTATCGATTATCCTTAAAACATATTCAGGTTTGATAAAAATGTGAACCTGAGTCATACAAACGCGTAAAAGGGTTTCATAATGGTCTAATGATGTTGGTCGCTTACATTATAGCAGTTGTTTGCAATGTTGCCAACTTTTGCATTATTATTTCGGTCTCGTAAAAATCAACGTGACTAACCGCGATATGTTTGAATCACGCGAATAATTTTTGTAAATTTTTATCTTGGTTTGTGAATATTTCATTCCATTTGCCAGGTAAAAAAAAAAATACATCGATGGCTTGGGCATAGAAAATGTGTTTTAAATATTCAAAATAGAGGTTTTTTTGGGTTAGATCGTGTTATTATAATTATGTCGCAACCCTCCACCACCCAACACGGCCAATCAGTAACAAAAATGTGTCACGTGAACAAAACGCCATTTAGTTACTTCTTCAGCCCAGCGGTGTGTTTGAAGAGTGACTCCACAACATTTAGAATTTGAGTCTGGTGTTTCGCTGGTAATTACATCCAGCAGCTTCGGGCAAATCGCCCGCAATTAAATCAAGCATCTTCGGGCAAATCTAAGTGTTGTGGATTCACTCTTCAAACACACCGGTGGGCTGAAGAAGTAACTAATCGGCATTTTGTTAACGTGACACAATTTTTGCTGATTGGCCGTGTCGGGTGGTGGAGGGTTGCAACACATTTATAAATAACGCGATCTAACACAAAAAAACTTTTTTTTATGAATAATACTGGTCGCGAAAGCCTACGTGTTAAAGTGTTTTAAATAATTAAATATTTATTTCCACTTTGTTGCTGTTAGCACATGGTGTATGGCACAAAATCATTACTCAGACTTTTAAATTATTCAGTACTCTGTAGAATTTGATCTCGCATTTCTTTGACCAAATATTAAATTATACATTTGGAGTATTTTTTTTATCATTGATAGTTTCTCATTGTACGTTGAAAAATGTAAGAAAAACTATTTGTTTGTGTCTCTTATTGAACCGATCAAACCAAATTTGTGCATGTACACATCAAATCGAATGTAATTCCGGAAAAGCTATCAAAAGCTGGACCAAGCCACCCAGGTCTCCCTTGGAAATGAGATTTGTCCTAGTCCCTTTGGTTCTGCCCGGATTAAACAATAAACTTGAACTTGTCACAGGAACTCCACATGGGACATATTCCGCTGTTCAAAACCCTAACAAGCCACCATTCATCCTAATTAGAGGCAATGCCACTTGTTGTGCATGCTGTGAGGAGGATCACAGGGCTGTAATTAATTCACCACTATACACCGCAAGACCAAGTCAAGTTTCCCTTGAGCAATCCCTTTGGTGCTCTCGCTCAGCACAAAACTGAACTTAAAAATGTTAATTGGAATATTTTTTGATATCCCGTTTCACGAGACAAGAGACACGATGACTTTATTCATTAAATCTCGCGGTCGGGGATATATGCCATTAAACCAGCTGAGAAAACAGTAACTCACGTGCGAATGTGCAATTTACTATCCTGGTATTTGAGTTTTCACCTGGTTAAACAAAATTAACTTGAAGCTTGAACTTGTCAGAAGAGATTCAACATTGTTTACAGTTTCATAAAAATGTTGTTCCTCTTAACATTAAACCAAATTAAAAATATTTAAATGAACATAACAAGTCAAACCTTTTCGCAGTTCCCCAAGTGAGAATGTAGCAGAACAAATTTCTGTTTTATCGAGACGTACGAATGTAACAATTTGAATCAAACATATGATTTGTCGTGATGCCTTTCAAAGGTCTTCAAATAGATTGGGTGCAGTGTGATGGCAGCAAAAAAAGCTCTCGGGGCAGAATTCATTCCTCTGACATGACGCGTCACCTGTAACACCCCCCCCCCGCCGCCACACGACACCAGCTGGCGAGCGCCACGGCGGTGTCTGCGTGGGAAGGTTTTCACGGTTGATTGTTGCCGTGCGCTGATCCCTGCTGTCCGCTCAGCCCCTGGCGCTTGCGCCTCATTAGCTCGTAGTTGCGGCTCATTGCGTCCATCTCGAATGCGGCCACGCGTTATTGGTCGCCGCGGTGTTTCCAGCTACGTGGACCCGAGCACCATTATCACGCCGTCCTCTGCTAGGAGAGGCGACGACGAGATCAGTGCCACCAGTCCAGAATGTGCAGCAGATGTTGTTACCATAACGTGTTAAGTAGAGCCAAATGTGAGAACTGGTCTAAAAAGTGCTGCTTATACGAATGAACGTAATGATGATAAATGGTTGTTTTGAAGCCGCTTTACATATGATGACTGTATAGCAAAAGTCTTAATTGCAGCCGGTGGGGTGGTGGGGGGGGAAACTATCCAGTTCAGCGACCTGTAAAATATTTCCATACCCCGCACACCACATCCAGTACGTATGTATGTTGAACTTCTTTCGCACCGTACGTAGCCAACCGTGCTAATCACTGTGGCTGTGGCTACTTGTCACGTAAGCTACCAGATAACTGAAAAACACTCAGTGACAAATTAAACTCTTAGTAGGGCAGCAAAAGACAATAAGCACGAATCGTTCCTTTGTTGTGGCAAGTATATAAAATATGTTTTAGCATTACATCTGAAAACTGCTTGTTGAGCCCTTGTAATTTGTTCATAAATACAAGAGAGCATTCATAGCCACAGTTGGCACATGTTACGTGGAGTATGGAATATTGAACGCTCGCAAACCGCCCAGACTTTTAAGAAACAAATATGGAAAAGAGGCACAGGTTGCTGTATGTGCCGGTGCGGCGGGCCGCATTTAAGACAACTTCGTCTCGAGCGTATAAATTTACCACCGCATCCTGTTACATCAGCCAAACCGTGTTGTGTTTGGCCCCTTGGCATGGGCTGACTGACACATACATGGTATCCGGGCAATTTTTTTGCGTTTAAGTCGCCAGAATCCGAGCGCTCAACATTCATTCATGGTGTAAATATTGTGGAGATCCTGTATATCCATTTTTTGGCTCGTAGAATATGTGCTCCAGGACACTCGTGGTCCTCGTTGTTGTGTGTAATACAATATGCGCAAACTTAGTATTGCGTAGAATGCCCAACTAAAGCCTCAAAGAAAATTCCCAAATGTATGAATTTGTTTTCGCTGCAGTGCCTTAGAATGTACCACTGCCGTGCTATTTTTAGTTTTAAACTAGTAAATGGTTGCGGGCTTTGCTCACGTTCTATCGCCTTTATTGTCACACTCCACGGGAGGTGGATTACTCGGTTCCCTTATGATGGTGGGGGTCGTATATTTATAACGTGTTAGCATGAGACTTATAGACGTGAACATCTTCAGGTTGATCCTGCCATCCATACGAGTGAAACCAATCAACCTTCGGACCATAAGCTTTGTCAAACAAGATTTTTAACGTTTTGGTTTTTAAATGTTTCTAATTGTAAGCATCGACTCAGTTATTTGCTAAATTCCATCTTTCTATCCGTTTTAGAACATCTTTAGAATGTGGTTGCAGTCAAGGCCATCTATGTGTATGAACTAGAGTGTGTCTGCACCACATGCTGATTGTGTCTATACGATTACAATTGTATCTATACAGGAAGAACCTTGACAGTGTGTGCCCATGTGAAAGATCTAAATGCAATTTGGACATATAAAGCATTCCAAACGTGACAGCTTCTCAAAACGCTGTACAAATAGGGAGGTATTTGCATAAAGAGGACACTTAACCATATTATTTTAGAAGGGAGGTATAGAATGCTACTGGATAGAAAAGGGAGATGAACACTTATTCATAGAGAAGGAACAGTCATGGGAAAGTCTCAATCTCGGACTTAAACAGGCTGCACATTTACAATGTCCACCAAAATGCAATGTAAGATACGTGTTTTGGCATTACTATGGTTGGACATTGAGTGAACGTGAATCATTTCCTTACCGTTCCGCAAAACCGGAGCACGTTCGTTATAACTCCAGTCTCAACACTGGATTTATTCTGGAATCTGGCCTCGATGTAGTTCGAAAGGGCCTAAAACTTGGTCACAGCAACTGCATCCAGGCCGGAATCCCGCTTGTTCTTCAAACTCGACGAGGGGGCTGATTCTCCGGGGAATGATGCATTCCAGGAGTTTTTAGGTCGTGCACAGGAATGATATCAACCTATAGCTTCCTGGGTCGTCGGTTGGCTTGCCCGTTTTGGGTATGGAAATGACCATTGCCTCCCACCATGCTTTTCATGGTTTTTGTGGACAGTTGTGCCACCCATTGGAGTCCCCTAAGGCCTAAGTGATGGGGAAATTCTGGGTGGATACCATCTCTGGTAGTGTCCTACAATGATCCCAAACTTGACAATGTTCATAAAAATGTAAATTGGAGGGGGGAAAAAAGTGTTCTACGTTCATGACAGTCTGGTAATATGTATTAGTATTCATCACATGCTCATGCCAAATTGAATATATTTGCTTTGCAAATCTGGAATACAAAGCAATATTACCAATTATTCAACAAGATTTCTTTCAAAAATTTAAAAACTCATTGTGAATGGAAATTACATTTCCCACTTGCAATATGATCCGACATGTTGCGTGAGTGCCCGAGGTTTGCAGCACTGCAGTCTTGCAGCACGGCGATCGGATCCGCAGGATTTTCAATTCAGGGTGTGCAAGCCTTCCGTGTGTGTATCACGACGTTCATCGGGACAGGTGGCTGACGCGTGCTGTTCTCAGTGAGTCATCAGTCGTTGGCAAAGGTAAACAGCCCGCTCAGCCGAGCCATGCGCACGTCCCCAGCCACAGCTGAGACCAACAAACGTGTGTATTTCATTATAACAGCCCTTTTGTAAATGCCCCTTGTGAATGAAGGCTTCCCCCATGCGATGCCAGTCATGAGCGTTGTTTGAACATACTGTACTTCATCACACTGGTCAGTATGGGTTGGTTAAGTGCGGGATT